TTTTAGTAAACTATTTTATTCTAAGTTTGTAAATAAATAAATAAAGTTTGTAAATCAACTTTTATTATATATGAAGTTATCATGTAATTCTTAATAATCCTAAATTACTACATAAAATATAATTATTTTATTTGGATATCTGAAGTGAAAATGGTAGAAACTCAACTGGCAGTAAATTTCAGACATCAGATCTGTTCCTTTCTTGTAGTTGCATAAGACCTAGGGTTTGCTTTGAACATATGAATCATGATGAATCACTAACAAAGTATCTTCCTTCCAGATAATCAAAGAGTAGAAAAGAAAATAAAATACATATTTTTCTAAGAGAACTGGCTCCAAAGTACATGCATTACTTTAATCTCAGGACTTGAGTCATGAGAAACAAACATCATTATTTGCTGAAAGATGTACTCTCTCTTCCCATTGTACTACAAAATATATGAGCATACACATAAGATACAGTATTTTCAATGCAGTGAAGAATTATAAATTAAAAACTGTGAGGGAAAATCATGCAAAAACTGTATTAATAGTAATATTTTTACTTAAAATGTAATTCTTAATAATCCTAAATTACTATATACAATATAATTTTTAATTATAAAAAATTTTAAAAATCAAAATAAAAACAATACTTAAAGATATAAAAGAGGACATGAGCAAATGGAAATTTCTCTGTTCATGGATTGAGATTAATATAATCAAAATGGTAATATTCCCCAAGCATTGTATAGCTTCAATGCAGTCCCTAGAGGGATAACTATGCCGTTTAAAAAATATATAGATAGATAAAACCCTCCTAGAATTTGTGTAGAGCAATATCCCCAGTCCCCTGAATATCTAAAGCAATCCTTGGAAAAAGAAGATGGGAGGCCTGACTTTCCCCAATTTCAAACTGTAGTACAGAGTGGTAGTAATTAAAACAGCATGGTATTGGAATAAAGACAGACTCTTAGATCAGTGGAATAGACTGAAATAACCTAAAGCAGACGCTCAGATATATGATCAGTTAATCTTTGATAAAGGAGCAAAAAATATGAAGTGGAGCAAGGAAAGCAAGAGGCTTTCCTTGGCCATGGTGTTGGGAAAATTGATTAGCTACTTGAAAAAAAATAACTCAAAACTCATTCTTTCTTTCACAAACATAAAATAAAATAAAATAAAAATGACGCCAATTAAAGATCTTGATACCAGACCTGAATCCATTAGGCACATAGAGGAAACATAGAGGAACTCTCCATAACATTGAAGCTAAAGGCACCTTCAAGAATAAAATACCATTGAACAAGTAATTGGAAGCAAAGATCATCAAATGGAACTACATCAAATAAAGAAGATTCTGAACTTAGAAGGAAACAATGGCCAGCATACAGAGAAAGTCCTCAGAATGGGAAAAAAAATGCCCAACACTCATCTGATAACAGGTTAATGTCTAAGAAGTATAAGGTACTCATAGAACTTCACAAGAAAAATCATCCAACCCAATCATAAATTGGGCAGAGGAGATGAATAGAAACTTTCTCAAAAAAGAAACACAAATGGCCAATAGACACATGCCAAAGCACTCTATGTCACTAGTAATCAGGGAGATACAAATCAAAACAACAATGAGAGATCTCATACCACAGAGATCAGCACACATCAAAGAGAACAAACAGTTCTGGCGTAAATACGGAGGGAAGGAGACTCTCATTCACTGTTGTGGAAATGCCAACTGATCCAGGCTTTCTAGAAAATAATATGGAAATTCCTCAAAAGCCTAGACATTGAGCTTTCATATGACCCAGCAATACTACTCCTGTAGATATACCCTGACGGCCTAAAAACACACAGCAGAAAAGCCATCTGCACTCCTATGTTCATTGCAGCACTAGTCACAGTAGCCAGAATCTGGAAACAACTGAAGTGCCCTAGAACAGATGAGTGGGTAAAAAACTATGGTTCATCTACACAAAGGAATATTGTGCAGCTTCTCAGAGAACAAGAAGCCCATGAAATTGCTCATATATGTATGGACATGGAGAGTGTCATGTGAGAGGGACAGGGACAGACATAGAATGATTGCTCCCATTTGCGGAGTTAAAAACAAAACAGTACGATAGTATGTGAATAGTCCTCAAGGAAAAGGAGCAACAAGGGCCAGGAGGATGGTCCCTGGGAGGAAGTTTGTCACAAAAGGGGATAGGAAATGCAGTTGGAACAGAGAAGAGGCCACTATTACAATGATTGTTGGAAAGATCTCTCTGGACAAGAACTGAGTGCTGAAAGGAGGTAAAATGATGTACATGATAGTCTTTCAGTATTACAAACCACAGTGCCTAAAAGAAAAATGAGAGAGGATGAGAGACAGACAGACAGAGATAGAGAGAGACAGAGAGACAGAGTGTACAAATAAAGCATAGAGGCAGGCTGTGGGGGTGAGGAGGGTGGGGAAGGGCTAACGGGAGGGAAATGGGGGGAAATGTGCACTGGTGAGGGGACAGGTATTGGAACAATGTATGAATGGAACTAAATCATGAGCAGCTTTGTAACTGTGTATCACATGGTGAGTCAATTAAAAATTTGATAAATAGATAAAATCATAGAAATATGATATGGCAAGAGAAATACTCAAGAAAATCAAGGATTACCTAACTGGTAATCCTGTAATTATCTAACTGGTTTGATCCCTAATACCAGATAGCTTTTGAAAAACATCAGGTGTAGTTCTGGATATCCCCCAAGGGTTCCCGGGAAGCTGGTGCTTCTAAGCACCACAGGTCTACAGATGACCACAGCCTCTGAGCCTCGCACTCAGTTGCTCAGACTGAACAATCACCTGAATAGCCCCATCCTGGAGTGCCACTTGGGAGATCCCTCGCTGCATAGAAGAAAATTATAGATCTGGATTTGGCTCCAAATTATATCATTTTACTAAACAGATGAGAAAGAAAGAATTGAATTAAAGAGCTTGCAACTTTATCTATGAGAAAATTCTCATATATAATCTGTTATTGTAATAATTTTTTGATTGTTTAAAGACAGAGAGTAAATAGCAGAAAGTGTGGCAGTAGTTGACAAGAAATAGGAGTAAGGAGAGATAGATGGGTTTGAAGTAGGGGAATTTTTTTTATCTCTTTCTATACATATCTTTGATATATTCCAATCTACATAGAAAACATCTATGATCTTTTATATTCTGTGTTTTACAGAGCAACTATGTGCAGATATTAATAAACTTCTTTATTTACTCAAATATTTTAGAATTTACTAGATACCATAATTCTATTTATAAACTTTTAAAAAGTTTCTCCGTAGCTGCCATTTGCCTAAAATACGAATTCATGAGAAACATATTACTTTTGAATATTTTACGTTAACAGATGCATGGTAAATTTTTATCTATTTTCAACAGTGCTATTTCTTTAACAGTATTATTTGATCTCATATTTACAATATATGCAAGCATAATTTATTGTTTCAGGTAATGTTTAGTAATGGCTTTTGTAATTTATATAAAACAAATGATCGTAGGGGCGGAAAGGCCCTCTGGGAAGGCAGAGCCTGGATGGTCTATCTGTTCAATGGTATTTGCAGATGTGCTTCAGAACAATGAGAATAACCAGAATGTTAGAGGTTAAATTAGTTCCTTGCTTGGAGCTATTTAAAAATACACTAACTCAAATATGTTCCTTTAAATTTAAAAATGTCTTAACGGGGGGGGGGGGGGGGCGGGCGGGCGGGCGTGGGGGTAAAAGAAATAGTCTAGAGGTAAGGTGCTAGCTTTCCATAGGGTTGAGCTGGGCATGATTCTTGGTACTGGGGGTAGCACCCTGAGAAGCACCAGAAGTGATTCCAGAGCATGGAGTCATGATCACTGCCCGGTCACTGCCAGGTATGGCACAAACATCCCCTTCCCTTGTAAAAGATGGAAAGCTTTGACCTCTGAGTATAGATGTTATTCTCGTGTCCTGATGGTTCTGAGAAAACTTCTTTAAGAACAGGGCAGGAGGGAACGTAAGGACATTGGCCAAGGAAAGTGGACACAGTAGTCAGGAATCAGTGTTGGAAATTGTACACCTTAATAACTCAATCATGAATAGCTTTGTAACTTTGTTAATCACAATGATTCAATAATAAAAATGAAATAAAATTAGTGATCATATGTCAGCATTCTATACAATCTTTTAATTGTAGTCAAATATGGTATTGTTTTGAGTATTGGTATAGCAATATTCTGAAAATCATCAGGATTATTTTAAGTTCGAGAGAATAGTCAGTGAAAATTATTATTGTATATTCAGACTATATATGAGACACTATAACTTACAAGTCAGAGGCTATTTTCTCAGTGGGGGCACATATGGCTCCCTTTGTGTCCGCAGGACATTCCAAGAGGCCACAGGTGAGAATCGCATAAATTGGAGGCTACAGCACAGATTAAGTGTGCAGCCGCTGGTGGGGAGGGGCAGCATCCCAGGAGCAAACCAAGCTCCAAGGAGGACCACAGCATCACCAGATGTGACCCCAAAAGACAAGAAAATAAACCCCCAAACGGTGACAGGATAAAAGAAAATTTGAGAAACACTGGCATAGTAACTTTAAAACATTCCAAAAATGAATATGATCGACTACTTTCTTTATGAAAATACTTAGGTTTAGTTGTTTTTCTATTTTTAAGTTTTTCTTTTTTCTTTTTGGGTCACACCCAGAAATTCTCAGGGGTCACTCCTGGCTCTGCACTCAGGAATTACTCCTGACAGTGCTTGGGGGACCATAAGGGATGCTGGGAATCAAACCCAGGTCCCGGTGTGCAAGGGAAAGGCCCCTCCCCCAACTCCCCCATCCCCGTGCTAGCGCTCCAGTTTGGGTTTAGTTTTATTCACTATAATTTTCCCAAGGTCTTGCAGCTACTATGCAGCAGCTAAAAAATCTCGGTGTCCAAAGTGCCACGTTAAGCTGCCGACGCTGCCCACGCTGCTGCTGGTGAGCGTGAAACAGGGCGTTCCTTTCTCTTTCAGACCCGGACACGTTCCAGGACCACCTCCAGCCGTACCTGGAGCAAGCTCGTCGCATCTGGCCCTGGCTCCTCGGGGCGGCGGGGGTGGGCGCAGTGCTGGCCGCGGCGGTGGGGTGGCTCTCCTGCCTCTGCTGTCGGCCCAAGAGGAGGGGGCTCCCTGCGGAGAAGCGGCCGCTCCTCGCGGAGAAGGGGGACGACCACCTCGTGTTCTACCAGAGCCACTTGTAAGTCCTTAATGAAGCGCTTGAGAACGAGGCCCAAAGCCTGTCCGCAAGTGATGTCCAAGTCCCGCGACGGGAACCGAGAGCGCTCTCTGGTCTCGGCTCTGAAGACCACCTTCGGCTCAACGCGCAGTTCACACCGAGACCGGCTCACCATCAGCTCAGGGTGCGCCTCCCACCAGTTCGCGCACGACCCTCCTTGGCTCTCTGCTGTTCTTGCTTCTTCACTGCTGTGTTCCGCAGGCACGCGTCTCCCGCGATACCCTCCCACTCAGTGATGAGCAGCTGCTACTTGTATTAATTAAAATCGCTTAGAGAATGTGAGAAGAATTATGGTTTCCCCTGATTTTAATGGGTTGTTTCTCTTCCTTTGTGTCTCCTCTTCTATATTAATAAAAATGTAACAAGTTTATAGACTCCTGGCTGAACTTGACACGTTTTAATTTTTCTCAGAAAAGTAATGTATCTATTCCTGCCCAAGTATATGTTACAGATTTCAAATAAGGACATGTTTCAACTCTTATTTACCCTAAACTCCATGCTTAAATTAATTTAGGGTCAAGCCCCATATCTAATTTATTCTGAGTAACTCTTTTTTTAAAATAAGATTTTTTATTAGTGAATCACCGTAAGGTACAGTTACAAACTTAACGAACTTTCATATTTCAGTCATACAATAAAAATTTATGATCTCTCCACCAGTGTCTATTCTCCTCCAATAATGTTCCCAATATCCTTCCAACCGCCCCCCCAACACACACACACACACACACACACACACACACACACACAACCCACCCCACTTCTGTGGCAGGGCATTCCCTTTTGTTCTCTCTCCTTTTGGGTGTTGTAGTTTGCAATAGAGGTATTCAGTGGCCATCGTGTTTGGTCTATAGTCTACTTTCAGCATGCATCTTTCAACCCGAATGGGTCCTCCCAACTTGGTGTTCCCTTCTCTATCTGAGCTGCCTTTTCCCCCAGCATGTGAGGCCAGTTTCCAAGCTGTGGAGCAGGCCTAGTGGTCCTGATTTCTACTACGCCAGGGAGCTAATCTCCCATTCTGTTACTTTATATTCCACAGATGAGTGCAATCTTTCTCTGCCTGTCCCTCTCTTTCTGACTCATTTCACTTAAGAGGATATTTTCCATGTAGATCCACTTGTACGCAATTTCATGACTTCATCTTTTCTAACAGTTGCATAGTATTTCATTGTGTAGATGTACCAAAGTTTCTTTAACCAGTCATATGTTCTTGGGCATTCCTTTTTTTCCACCCCAGATTATGACTATTGTAAACAGTGTAGCAATAAACATAGAAGTGCAGTTGTCATTTCGACTATACATTTTTGCCTCTCTGGGATATATTCCCAGGAGTGGTATTGCTGGGTCAAATGAGAGCTCAATTTCTAATTTTTTGAGAAGCGTCCATACTGTTTTCCAAAAGGGCTGAACCAGTTGTCATTCCCACGAGCAATGAAGGAGAATCCTTTTCTCCCCACATGCATGCCAAGACCAGTTCCGTTTGTTCTTTTGGATGCAAGCCAGTCTCTGTTAAGTGAGATGATATCTCATTTTCATCTCCCTGATGATTAGTGATGTAGAGTATTTTCTCATGTGCCTTTTAGCCATTCCTATTTCTTCTTTGAGAAAGTTTCTGTTCATTTCATCACCCCATTTTTTGATGGGGTTGGATATTTTCTTCTTGTGGAGTTCAACAAGTGTTTTTTATATCCTTGATATCAACCCCTTATTGGATGAGTATTGGGTGAATATCCTTTCCCATTCTGTCCTATACACAAATAATGAGAGAGAATAAAGTGACATGAAAAAAGCAATCCTGTTTATAATCATGCCTCAGAAAATCAAGTACCTCAGAGTCAGCTTAACTAAGGAGGTAAAAAAACCTGGACAAAGAAAACTAAAAAATGCTACTTTATGAAATAAAAGAGGACACAAGGAAATGGAAAGATATCCATTCCTCATGGATTGGGAGAATTAATATTGTCAAAATGGCAATACTCCCCAAAGCATTGTACAAATTCAATGCAATTCCTATAAGCATACTCATGACATTCTTCAAAGAAATGGAGCAAACACTTCTGAAATGCATATGGAACAATAAACCCCCAGGAATAGCTAAAGCAATTCTTGGGAAAAAGAAAATGGGAGGAATCAACCTCCCCAACCTCAAACTCTACTACAAAGCAGTAATAATTAAAACAGCATGGTACTGGAACAAAGGCAGAGCCACAGACCAATGGAACAGGGTTGACTATACTGACCCCCCCCCCCAATATATGATTATCTAATCTTTGATAAGGGAGCAAGAAATGTGAAGTGGAGCAAGGAAAGTCTCTTTAACAAATTGTGCTGGCAAAACTGGACAGCTACATGAAAAAAAAAATGGGTTCAGATCTCTACCTAGCACCATGTACAAAGTAAGATAAAAGTGGATTAAAGGCCTCAACATCAGGCCAGAATCCATAAGGTATGTTGAAGACAAGGTTGGCAAAACCCTCCACGACATTGAAGGGAACGGTATCTTCAAAGATCACATACCATTGGCCAAGCAAGTGAAAACAGAGATAAACAAATGGGACTATCTTAAACTAAGAAGCTTTTGCACCTCAACAGAAACAGTGACCAAAATACATGTTTCAACTCTTTCCTACTATAGTCCTGAATAGTCATTTGGAGGTAATTATAAACAGGACCCCTCTCTATTAAAATACAACTAACTGCCTGTCTCAAGATATGTCCATAAAATATGTTCATAATATATTATGATAATAAGCCTTTTTACCCTTAAGAAAAGTGTTATTTTACTAAAGTACCTTTAAAATGGAACAAAACATTTGAAGGTTGAGAATAATTCATTGAATATCATTTTCTCTACACTTATAAAATAACATTTTTTTAGCTATTAAGGTCTTAGGAGGCCAAAATAATCCTACTATTTGAAATTTTGGGTCCAGTTGAATTTCTTTTTTCTCCAATTTTAATTTATCAAATTGCTGTGATTTACAGAGTTATTCACACCTGGGTTTCAGACATACAGTGTCCCATTGTTGATCCCACCACCCTTCCCTTCAACTTCCCTTGACAATGTTCCCAGTATCCCCCTTTAACCTACACCCTGACCCTGACCTGCCCACAAGACAGGCGCATTTTAAAGTTTTGTTATTAAAGTTTGGCCTCATAATTTTAGTGTTGTTTACTCTGTGGTTTGGCTCCTTGGCTCTATCATTTCCATAACAACCACCACATAATTTACCCCTTGCCTGCTGCTGCTCCTCCCTCTTCTCCCCACCCTCTCTGGTCCCACACTCACTGCTCATTGTCTTTCCTTCTCCTTATATTTTGAGACCAAAAATGATCTAGGTATCCCCCCTTTAATCATTGCATTTTCTCAACAATTACTTTAAATACCCCATATAAGTAATATCATAATGTGTTTGTTTATTCTCTGACTTACTTCATTTAGCATAATTACTTCCAATTCTGGGCTGGAGCGATAGCACAGCAGATAGGACGATTGCCTTGCAAGCGGCCAACATGGCTGACCCGAGTTTGATTCCTCCACCACTCTTGGAGAGCCTGGCAAACTACTGAGAGTATCTCGCCTGCATGGCAAAACCTTGCAAGCTATCCATGACGTATTTGATATGCCAAACACAGAAACAACAAGTCTCACAATGGAGACATTACTGGGCCCGCTTGAGCAAATCAATGAACAACGGGAGGACAGTGACAGTGACTTTCAATTCTATCAATGTGAAGAAAATTGCATTATTTCAACAATCCTTAGAGCCTCCTAGAATTCAATTGTGCTTATATACCACTCTTCATGACCCACTCCTCTGTTGTTGGATATAGAGCTTGATTCCAAATTAACGATTCCACTAAGTGCTGCAATGAAAAATGGTAAGCGGCATCATTGTGAAGAAATGTTTTTTCTGTCCTGAGGGTAGATATCCAAAAGTGGAAGCTTTAGGTCATATCACAGCTCAATTTTAAGTTTACTGAGAACCCTTGACAATGTTTCCATTAGTTGAACTAGATAATATTCCCACCAGCAGTGGATGACAGTTCCTTTTTCACCACATCTCCGCCAACACAGATTTTTCTCATTCTTTTATATATGTATCATTCCCCCTGGTATGAGATGGTATCTCATTGTATTGATTTGGATGTCCTCTACTCATAATTTATAATAAGCATATTTTCATGTGCCTGTTGACCAATTTTTGGTCTTCTTTGGAGAAGTCCATGTTCATTTCCTTTCCCATTTTTTGATTGGGTGTTTGGATTTTTGTGTTGATCTTTTTAAAAAAAATTTTGAGTACTTTTTCTTTCATCATAAGGATAGTGAAAGTACATGTCTATCTTCTTTCTAAGTCAGCTTCATTGATTTTTTGTATTGCTTTTTTGGTTTCTATTTGTTGATTTCTTCTAGTTTTTATTATTTCCTTCCTTCTGCTTGACTTGAATTCCTTTCTTTTTTATTCTTCAGTGTGTATTTAAGTTGTTAATTTCATTATTTTGTTCTTTCAAAATATAGGCCTATGTTGCTTTAAGTTTTTCTATTGGTAAGGCTTTTTCTATGTCCCAGATTTTAATAAGGTGTTTCTTTATTTTCATGAATCTCATGGAATTTGTAATTCCTTCCTTGGTTTTCCTTTCTATCTAGCTGTTATTTAGTAGCATGATGTTCAGTCAGTATCCAAGTGTCAGAGTTTTCCATATTTTTTATGATTAATTTTAATTTCTGTGGCATTGCAGTCTGATAGGATGCTTGGTATGATTTTATTTATTTTTTTTTTATTTTTTTTTATTTTTTTTTATTTTTTTTTTATTAGTGAAAAACCATGAGGTACAGTTATAGGCTTACAAATTTTGTGCTTGGGTTTCAGTTATACAATGATCAAGTCCCCATACCTCCACCAGTGCCCGTCATCCATCCCCATGGGTCCCAGCATCCCCCCCCCCATCCCCCCCCCCGTCCCA